AATAGTTACAAATCTGCAGGCAGATTTGTAACTATTTCAGTAGTACCAAAACCAAAGCTGTCCAATTCCATTATTTGCAGTTTTCTACCCTGCTGACTAAAATCAGTTTAGTTAATTACATCATTAAATAACATTGAAATTTCTTCAAGTTAAAACATGTCACTCAATCTGATACTTTGATTCAAAATCTGAACTAAAACAGTGAAAAAAAAAAAAAAACAATCAGCATATCCCCTGAGGAAAAAAAATTCTCAGTGAACAAAGTTGATCGTTTGGGGGGAAAAAAGTCATCTTGTTATAAATATAAAAAAGTAGTGTGCCTTGTACATTTAACATGAGCATTGTGGATACTACTTAAATGTCCAACAGTCTTTAAATGCACCACAAGTCACACCCTAGGTGTCTGATGATTGGTTACAGGATGTCACGTGAGTGTGGGCAGCAGAAATCTACACCCAGCAGCATTTTAAACGTGTACAGTCTTTATGTAGTGATATAAAACAAAACACACAGAACAAGAGGCCTTCTATTAATCAGTAATTTAATTCAATATGTACAACTAATGTTCTTAAATCCCTGCGTATTATCATTTCCACTCTGAGGCGCCACCCCTCTGACAGCGAGGAGGGATTTTAAAGACCAAAGTTGCTTATAGACACAGGAGTGACCATATCTCTGGATTTTTTTTTTAAACTCCCCTTATCAACAACACAACGGCATTGCCTAAAAATGAATCTCTGTTAGAGCACACAGTCACCCTGATGTAATTATTGTAGAATAAACCAAAGCAGTCAGTGCACAGTAGCTAACTCCATAAATATTGACTCTAATTAGAATACAAACATTTTAATAATCCTGCATTATTTTCACAAATGGAGGTGCCAGGAGTGTCACAATGTTAAAGAAACTTGAGGAGTGATCAATTGAGAGAAAACAGATTCAGCACATCATTCAATGCAGGGCAACAAAACTTTAACTTCCTACATTTCATGTTCTCTTCATAAACTTCAAAAATTGAGAGAAACTTTATTTTTAGCATCAGCAATACCTCAGAAACCAATCTTGTCTTTGCATTCTGACAGTTAGTTAGAGGTTTTGTAAACAAAAAGACCTTTGTTACGAAGAAAAGGGAGTAAAATCTGAATATAGCCCAGTGCTCCTAATGAAACGTAATATTTAAGGCTCAACTGTTTGGGTCGATTTGCGAGATTCAGTTTAAATCCTCTACAAAGCTAACAAATCATTTCAATATTTTCCATGATAGGATTACAGATGACCAGAAGGCAAAGGGAGTAACTGTTTCTTACATACCCTGACTAATCAGTCATTACAGCATATATCCATTCCTGGAGATTATTGTTGTACCGAGTTTTTTAAAACCAAGACAAATTAAAAGAAGAAAGAGTAATTTATGATACATAAAGAACCAAAATAAGGACAACTGTATTCAGGTTGTGCTGAATTTCCTGGCAGTGTACATTCTGGAGGTTGGTTACGCTTCACAGGTTAGCGTAGCTGTAGCGCCGGCTGCTTCTGTTGGTGGTTACTTCAGAGGGGAGCTCTTCATAGGAATCATTATTCTGGAGTCCATGTGCTGAATAAGAGGAACTGCGACAAAAAACAAACAAACATAGGTAAACATATTTCCAGGATTTAGATTTAGCTTTTTAGGCTAAAAGCTACTAGAATCATCATCATTATCGTTAAAGGAAAGCCCGACGTACAATGTGCGATTTTCGGGGCGATTTTCCAGTCGTGCGAGAATCTTTCGATCTTCCCGACTTTAATCCTGATCTTGAGTCGTGTAGTGTACAGGGGGTTAGAGTGGCGATCAGCCTCTCACGACCACCTCCCGATCAGGAATCGTTAGGTCGGCAGAATATCAAACATGTTTAATGTTCTCTCGACCGTCGTGGGCAAGTCGCTCAGGGCGCATGCGTAAAGAAGGACTCTTCCTTTCAGATGTAAACACAGCAGTGTGGCAGGGATGCAATGAGTGAAATGCAGTGCTGTGTGTACAATTGAAAGACCGTAGTAGCCATGTTTACTCAGCCATGTCTGTTTTCCAAATACGTTGTCGCCTTTTCTTTTTAGGACTTTCAGCACAAAATTTCA